GTTTGTTGTGGTCATAACAGAGGAGCTTGTAAGTCCACAGTTGAGTTTTTGAAATTGATTCTGCAGACAGTTTTCCTCATCCCTGTTGAAATAAATACTGTAAAACACATTGTTCCTCTCCCTAGTGAGCTGAGAAAAACGATACATTTTTCAGTGGCGGGTACACTTCAGCGAGGACAAAGAAAACTCAGATTACAGAAGCTGCGAAGACATAACATCCTCAAGTTCAAAGCGCTTCCTGGCCAGTTTGTGAGCAGCCCGTTGAGCCGTTACTATTTCAGGTTCCAAGGGACCACAGGGCCCTCTGGCCTTGACGCCTGCCCGCCCTGAGCCTGGATCCTGCAGCGTTGGCCACTGCAGTCCCACGCATGCACGGGGCCCTGAAACTGGGCGAAGTCTGGTCAATAGCTGAGGCCCAGGAAGGAGTGTTGTGGAACTTGCGCCATCTCGGGGCGTCGGGGAGATAGGCCGCCCCGGTCAGTGAGTCTGCCCAGTAACTGACCATGTATGCCTGGAGGACCAGTGCTGACAGGGATTTATTTCTCTGAGATGTGTTGCATCCGTGTTTAGCTGGTGAAAGTGTGGGGCTGTTTTTAGGGGCGTCCGTTTTTAGACTAGACTGTAATCCAGGGTTGCCTTTGGCTCCTTTTAGAACGTTCTGGTCTCGTCAAAACTATCTTAGGCTGCTCTGTTTGTGGCATGCTTAAGGTGGTTTTGTTTGTTTTTTATATTTTTTCTAGTTTCCCTTCTAATTTGCTGTGTCCCAGGGAACCTGAACACAAACCTCATTTGAATTCACATACAGAGAATCAGCAGACCCTGAAGGAGGGGAGGCCCCAGGGCCCTTCCCCGGAGCTCCCAGGGGGGCATGGACCATGTGTGTTCCGATGGTTCCGAGGCCCTTTTCCGGGCCTTCTAAGGGTTGGGGGAGCGTTCCCCCAGCACCCTCGCCTGTTTCTCTGCCTGCATCGGGTTCGGTGTTTTATGAGGAGCCCTTGGCAAGGAGGAGTCCAGGTTTGGTGGTTTACAAGCGCGTAAACTGGGCAACTTGGCAACTCCTGAGCAACCGGGCACCTCAGTGTGAAAGATACCAAAAGCAGGTGTTTGCGAGCCCAAGAGAATCGTGTCGGGGGGGAAAAGGGAAGAAAAAAAGAAAGGGAGTGATCACCAAAACATGTCTGCCAGACTAGACTCATAAAACTTCTCAGTGAAGACTTTCAAATGTAGTGAAAAGGAAAAGGAAAATTAAGTGGATTTCTGGGTTCCCAGTACCCTGCTTTAATAATGATATGACCTCTAGTTGCTATTCTATTATCGTAACTATATTAACTATAGTTAATAACACTATATCGTATTATTCATATGACATTACATTATGATAACATTACAGCTATATTAACTATAGTTCATCATACTGGATTGTATATTTGAAAGTTGCCAGGAGTATGTAGATTTTAAAAGGCCTCATCACAAAAAACAAACAAAACAAAAAAAAACTTGTAACATTGACACAAAAATTTAATTATGGATGGTGATAGATGTCAATTAGACTTATTGAGGTGATCTGTTTGCAGTATATACAAATATCAAATCATTCTGTTGTACACCTGAAACTAATATAATGTTCTTTGTCAATTATATCTCAATTAAAAAATCATATTACCACATTGCTTTTTTTGCCTTAGAGTTTAGAATAATAAGATGTTATCCAGTATCATTACAAGCCTGCGGTATTTCCCTCTCAGATCCTACCCTTCTCTCGTGGGGCACCCACTGGCCTGAATTTAGCCTTGTTTCTTCCAGTGCAGGTTTTTATTCTTTCAGTACATATTTTTGTATCCATTGATCGTAAGTAGCATTCTTCACGCATAAGTAGGATGGGTCACTTCCCGCAGGTGGTACAACATTGTACATATTCATCCATAACTTGCTTTTCTTCCTCACTATTACATTTATGAAATTCATACTTCTTGTCTCTGATTCATTCATTTTTCACTAGTGTTGCGCAGGGGTTAGCAAACAATGGCCCCTGGACCAAATTTGGCCTACTGCCTGTTTTTGTAAATAAAGTTTTATTGGAGCCCAGCCATGCTCTTTGTTCACAAATCTTCTGTAGCTGCCTTGCACAGTGGGAAAGTTGAGTAGTTAAGACAAAAGACCAAAGGGTTAGCGAAGTCTAAAATATTTGCTATCTGGCCCTTTACAGAAAAAGTGAGCCCAGCCCTGCCAGTAGAATTCTGATGTAGCAATATCGCACATTGTAGCTATTCTTCTATGGGTGCCATTTGTGCCATTTTTAATTTTTTTAATATTTTATTAACAGTGCTCAGTAGCACTTTTTTTTGCTCAAAATTCTCTGTAGAGTGTATAGCTGGATGTGCACATGCACCTTAAATTTGACTGAATATCACTAAATTGGCCTCCAAGGCGGACCCACCAATTTGCACTCCCACCTGCTGTCTGTGAGACTTCCTCTCCCCGCACATCCTGCCGGCAGCCTGGAGTTCTCAGCCCTTAAGCTGGGCACGTTGATGCGGTTAACGTGGGCCTTCATTTCAGGTCAGCGTTCTTTTAGGTTGTTGTTGACCATTTGCCGTTGCGGGAGTTGCCTGCTCATGATATCCCCGCCATTTCCCTACTGAGTCGCCTTTTTCCTCTGGAGTGACGAGAGTTCTTTATGTGTCCTGGCTGCCGATCCTTTCGGTTACGTGTGTTAATACCCCCCAGTGACTGGGTCTTCAGTCTGGATTCCTTACCAGAGCTGTGTCTTAAGGTCTAGTCAGCCTTAGTTCATCTTGAAGATATAAGTCATCTTTCTATACACATGCATACATATGTACACATGTTTGTAGCATGTGCGTATGCACACACACACACGACCTCTTTTTCTTGGGAAGGTTTGCACCGTCTACCTTTGTGAGAGTCCGAGGGTGAAGAAAAGGAAGTGGTTCCCAACAGTGTCCGTGAGGTTGATCGAAAACAGCCTTCTCCACCAGGATAGTCGCAGAGGCTTGCAACCAGCCGGTCTTGGAGCAATTTCAGTGCCCTCCCGAGGCTGTTTGTTAGAGCGAGCTGATTGTTCCCCGGGCTGTGGCTGTGTAGACGTGACCCGCAAGGTCCCAGGGAAGCTGAAGGTCACCGTGGTGGGGCACGGAGGGTTTGGCGGGCTGCCTTGGACAGAAACCGAATGTGACTTGAGGTTTTGGGTTTCCCCGTTTCGGTTTTGGCTGAAGTCAGACCCTGGTTTCAGCCCGATCACATTGAACCATTCTGTGGCCCACAGTGATTTAGACTTAAAACTCCCATTTCCAGGCCAGATTATTTTTGTTGGACTTTGCACTGGCCCGTCCTCTTCAGAACTGAGAGCACTGGCTTCCCCTGCCCCTCCCCGTCCTCTGACCTTTCACTTCAAACTTTCCGAGTTGAATGAAGAGTAACCCTTCGGCCTTTCCAGGGTATGGCCCTGTGAAACTCACAGTGCCTGCAGCCATGACCTCTGCCTGTCCTGTCTTACTGAGGCGCGGGAAGACTGATGACAGCTGCCATCTTGCAGTTGCCCCCCGACCCCCTAGAGACCCCGAGCTCCTTGCGCCTGACCCCATAGCACTCTCCTGCCTGGGCCCGGCCGCCCGCTCAGGTGCTCTTCCCACACGTGTCATCCAGGTGCGGGCTCGGGGCATCCCCCAGTTCCAGGATGAGCTGCTTCACCGTCACCAATTCGCTCCTTCAGAGAGTGCCACCCTCCGGGCAACCGGCACAGGCAGCCCTAGGGGACAGTTCCCTGTGCTGTGCCAGGTGTCAGACTGCACTACACGCTTCCTCACCTGTCGTCTCAGGTGATGCTCCCATTAGTGCCGTCAGCAGTCGGGCCAGCTTCCTGGGCCTGTGACCAGCACCATCTTTCAGGGCCTGTGCTTGCTTTAGGAGGAAGGGCACCACGCTGGCTTTGACGCCCTGCACTTGCCTTCTTGAATTTTTAAATAAGTTTTCAATAGTTGGCCTACGTCTTCCAGCTTGCACTGAGCCCTGAAAGTCAGGTAGCCGGTCCTGCCCACAGATCGAGGCGCCGAGGCTTGAGACGGGATGTAATTTGCCCGAGATTGCACAGCTCATAACTGTCAGGGCTGGGATCGGAGGAGTTTCAACTTTGCTACTTCGTTGATTAAAAATAGAGCTCCGAAGAGCCTTGCGGGAATTGCCCTACAAGGAGTGAGGCAGATCGTGCTGTAGAAATACTGATTTGCTGTGGAGATGTGCTTGCATGTCGTTAAATAGTTTTGTGGTGACCCCCACACCGGCCAGTTGCCACCCTTGTCTTTGAGGGAGGAACCCTATCGGTTATTTCTTTTGAGGTCCCTGAAAGTGCCTGCAACAGGGCGCCTCCCAGGGGAGCCACGCTGGCCGACCAAGTAGGTCCGTGGGCTCCTTTGACTGCAAAGAAGGAGAGAGACCACAGGGTGTCGGGAACTATCAAGGTGCACGAGGAGTTAAGATGCTGACCCACAGGGAGCCGGGAGGGTCTGGCATAGCTCTTGGACCAGATCCTGGCACAGGGGTTCATGGATCCCCGACTCAGCTCCTCCTGGCTTTCCTATTCTGTGTGTCTCATCCTACCAAGCATTCCACTCACAACTCTACCAGGACTTTCCCATGTGGCCCAGACCCCTCAGGCTGCTGGACTGCCTAGAGGTGGACCCGGGGGCCAGGCAGTGCCCTCTGGCTGTGTTGGCATAGTTACAGGGCACCAGCCTTGTGTTGGCATGGTTACAGGGTACTAGCGCGGTGGCTCGGGCGAAGTTGCTTTAGGAACGGGGTGGAGGGAGGCCTGTCCTGCCCAGGTCACTGTCTGTCCGGGCTCCCAGGACGGGCTCTGATCGAGTCGGCCGTCTTCAGAGGTGAGCTCACTGCCTCCCGAGCAGGACGCCCTGCGGCTGGAGGTTCGGGGGGTGTCCAGGGGACGGGCTGGCTCCCTGGTGATCGGCTCTCTCTTTCCTTCACAGCAGCAAACCCTCTGCTTTGCTCCACCGCCCGCTACCACTGTAAGAACGGGCTCTGCATCGACAAGAGCTTCATCTGCGACGGGCAGAACAACTGCCAGGACAACAGCGACGAGGAAAGCTGCGAGAGCTCGCAAGGTAGGAGGCGCCCGGCACTAACCAGTGGTCACAGATCGCAGCCCCGCCCCACGGTCACCGTAGGAGGGAGGACACGACACCCGTGCCCGCCTCCACACGCACGCACCGTGTTCGTGCTTGCACTTGACCCCACAGCCCTTGCACACGTGGTGCTAATGAGAAGCACCATCCCTTTTGTTTTTCTCGTGTTAAATAGCATATGCACATTTTCTCAAAAGTGAAGTTTACCCCAGCTCCCTGACACCCTGTGGGGCCTCTGCTGTGGTTTTCTGAGTCGCTGCATCGTTGGGGGCCCTCGAGGCTGTTCTTACCATTGAATTTCTCCTGCAGGATCAGTCTGGGTGGGCCGTGTGCGTGGGTGCATGGCTCCGCCTCGCCGTACAGCTGTTGGGAGTAATTTTTTTGCTTCACCCGGCTGCTCGCATTGTCTGCACACGTCAGTTTCACTGGGATACCCCCGGCGTTCGCTGCGGTTCTGTTTTCTCCATTTTTGCTAATTTAGCAGGCACAGAATGACGGCCTCCCAAATGCTTGCATTTGCGTTTCTCTGATTGTGAGCAAAGCTGACGTTCCCCGTGTGCTTGTTTGCTCTTTGTTTCCTCTTATGTGGATCGCCTGCTCCTCTCAGACTCTCCGCCTCAGAGCTGTTTTCTGGAAGCCAGAGGATGCCGTTTGGGGGTGGAAAGATGAGCGTTTTAGGGAACCCCGGAGGGCACAGCAGGGTCGTATCCTCTCTGTGAAAACTGACTGGGTACCTTTCTTTACTCATTGGCCATTTTCCTGTAAACATGTATTTTCTTCAGTGGTGAGGCCAAAAATACAAAGATTTAAGAATGTACGTTCATTTTAAGGCAACCTAAAAAGTATATATTTCGGGTATAAACTAGTACCACCTGAATACAAGCTTTACCTTTTTTTTTTTAAACTTAATGTTACATTGCTGTGATTCACCCATATTATTGTTTGTTGGTAGAGTTCATTTTCTTGACTGTTACTCAGTATTCCACTGTATAAATGTACCACAGTTTCTAGACGTAATAAAACTGCAAAAAGCAAGGCAAGGGAAAGACGTAACTGGCCAACTCGTGTCAGGAGGTGGGATGGATGGGTTCAGATGAAGGTTCTTTTCAAGGTCCTGGCTTTTGTTTTAGTTGGTGCTTGTTATGTTATTAAAAATGAATAAGTGGGTCATTCATAGACCACTGGTGACCGTGGGTCACAAACCAGGGATGGTGATCCATCCGAACCTGTACGCTCGAGGTCCAGAGACAAGGACAGACCAAATGTGCATCAACAGAGCCTCGGCCAAAACGTGTGCAGAAAGCAGCTGTGGGAGCTTATTCTTGGGTAGCATTAGCCTCTGATTGTCCTCAGGTCTTCGCTTCACCAGGGGTTCTCAAAGTGTGGTCCTCTGAGAAGCAGCACGTGGAACCCTCCAGAATGCAGAGCTCAGGCCGCACCCCAGACCAGCGGAGTCACCCGGGAGCCGTCCGTGCTTCCAGAGCCTTCGGTGATTAAATACACAGTGAAGCCTGAAGCCCCTATGGTTGGTGCCCCAGCCTCGGCGAGGTCTCTTATCTTGCCATGTGCCGAGGAATTTCTAAACTTCGATGGAGCGGCAGGGTATTTCTAGCCTTAACGCAAAGTCAGTTTTATAAACCAAACGTTAGGCCAGTAAAAACTCCTTTGGCCTGTGCCATCCGCAGTGATAGATAGCAGATGGGGGGAACCAGTCACAGAGTCGAGGACATACTAGCAGAGATAGGAGGGGTTGAGGAGGTTTTCTGTGCCATTTCTTAGGTGGTTTCCTATGTGTTCACTGGACTCACTAGTGGTGCCCTGAGGTGTTCAGCAAAAGGACTCCCAGATCTAAACCTGGGAAGTTAGGGAAATTGCCCTCCCGTCCCACCCCCACCCCTAGCCTCACCCCCACCCCCACCCCACTGGCCTGTCCCAGCATTTTTCTGAAGCAGATGTTGGCCTACCCTTAAGAAGAACCGCTCTCTGCAGGCTGGGTGAAGTTAGTGTTTCTGAGCCCAGCCCCTTTTTCTCTGTATGTACTGTACTTTCATATAAACATAAGGCGTAGGAGACATCAGTGCTGGACACGCGTGCGGAGCCCGGTGTTGCCAGATGCCTTACGTGGAGCAGCCTCCCTTAGTGTCTCAGCTTTGTGCCTTCCACAACCAGATGATACCCCCCTGGAAAGTAAGCTGTGTTCCCACAAGCTCTCAGAAAACAAGTCCCATCAGGGCGGGGGTGACGGCTGCAGTCGCCATCAGTGTGACAGCCTCCGAGCCAGGGGAAGGCGCTACCCTTAGCTACCTGAGAACAGGAAGCGTGCCCTTTTTTGCCTCTGGAATCCCACAGGTCCTACCTAGTAGCTGAGTGCCCTGCGCATAGCGGGTTCCATAAGGACTGGAGACTGGAAAAGATGTCTTTGTCGGGCGTTATGCTATTAAGCTGTGCTTCATTTGCCCCCTGTGTACTACTACATTGTGTAATTTTAAGTTATGTGAGTTTTAAGATCTACGGTCTATTAAAATCCTCATCATAAGGATTATTATTGTTGTTTAGATTGGGTAGATGATGCTGTCCTCCCTCAGGGGAGCACACCCCCCTCAGCGAGTGTGAGATGGGGTCGGGCCCGCTGTCCCCCGGGCCAGTCGACAGTTTCTCATCCCTCTTCTGCTGTGACGCCCCCTGCTCCGAGCGTGATTCTGGTTTTGAGGGTATGCTTCCCTCCTGTCGGGTAGCCTCTAAATGCAAACGGACCGCTAATGTGGGACTTGAGCAAAGAACCACCAGAGGACCGGGGCTCGTCTTGTACCGCCGGAGATTGGCCCCTCGTCACCGTAATAGTAGTGAACATTCATCGAGCCTTACCAGGCCCTAGGCACGGTGCTAATTCATAAGCACCGTCTGTTCGCAAGCCCCTTTAGGCAGAACATGTCCTGTCTGCCTCTGCCAGCTCCCAGTCCTTCACAAGGCACCTTTGCTTCCAGTCCATGTGGGCAGCGGAAACGGTATTCTGTGCTGTCTACCTGGACGCAGTGGAGAAAAGCTGGCCCCACGCCGGGAAGTGCAGGTCTTGAAGTACTTTTCTTCCAGCTTGGTGAGGGTCTGGAGGAGTGGTGTCTCGCGCTAGAGACCCCAGCTTTGTGTGTGTGTGCCTCACCTCCCTCTCCGCTCATCCCCATAAGTCCCTGCCTCACCCTTGGCCTTGAAACGGACGACGACGAGCTCTGCCGCGAATTGATGAGATGGGATGGGACCGGGAACGTGCAGTCATTACCGTACCTTTCTATTCCGTGTGGGATGTAGTAGAGACCAGGGAACACTGTGGTGGGATGGGGTTTTAATTGGGCTTCCTTGATTGGGAACACAGCCTGTTCACCCGGTAATTCCCACAGCAGGTCTCCTATTGCCTGGGCACTCTCCCTGGGAGGGCACATCTGGGGCCAGCAGGTGCTGCCCTGTCCCTGCTGGGCGTGGCCAGCACTGAGGTGGCCTTAAATATGTTGACTTTGATCCAATGGAGCAGTTAGATTCTCTCCAGCGTTGGGGAAGCGACTGAACGTGGCGGGTGGGCTTGAATGACTCCCACCTCCTGGGGCTCACACCTGGTATCACCCTGATCCCTTGAATGTCATCTGGACCTTGCGACTTGCTTTTTTGAAAAATAATTGTGGCAAAACACACATAACATAGCATTTACCGCCTTAACCATTTTGGAGTGTACAGTTCGGTTGTGTTAAAGTATATTCACATCGTTGTACCCCAGTCTCCAGATCTATTCCCTCTCCCACAACTGAAACTCTGTGCCCATTAACCCTTTGAGTGCCAACCAATATCCTAGGAACTATGCTAAAATTGCCAAGGCATGTTTGCTGATTTTACAGCAGTTTAGGAAAAAAATTATGAATCGCAAGTAAATGAAGTTACATATTCAAAAACTTAAGGAAACCTTTACTACATTGACATATCTAGCAATATCATCATCACTAATAAAAGCAGACTTAGAACTGGACGCCATTTCGAAGCTTTGATAGCGCTCCCGGCACTTTTGGCGAAAGACAGGAGGCGCGCGATCGCGCTCCCCGGCACTCTAGGAGTTAAAAAAGGCCACTGTCCTTCCTCCTGCCCCCAGCCCCTGGCCACCTCCATTCTCCGTCCTGCCTCTGTGAATTTGACTACTCTAGCTATCTCATATAAGTGGAATCACTCTGTATTTGTCTTTTGCCGACTGGCTTCTTTGTTACTTAGCATAATGCCTTCAAGGTTCATCCGGGCTGTAGCAGGTGTCAGAACTTCCTTCTTTTTTAATTAAGGCTGCACCGCACTCTATTGTACACCTGTACCACTTTCTGCTTACCCACTCGTCTGTTGATGCGCCCTCGAGTTGCTTCCGCCTTTTGGCTATTGTAAGCAATGCTGCTGTGAACACAGATGTACAAATTGTGCCTTGCGTTTTAACAAAGACGATGGCATCAAAGGGGGTGGTGTGTTGGTTCCAAGATTAGATTACGAAATCTGGCATCTGTTTTTGCGCTCTCTCTCTCGCTCTCGCTCTCTTTCTCTCTCCTGTGTGGATGGTGCTGCCATGTTTTAACCAGCCCCATGGATAGGACCTGACCAATAGCCAGCTAAGAGCTGCAGCCTCCCAGTAGCCACGCTTGGTGAGCTTGGAAGTGGCTCCTCCTCTGGGGAGACCTCCAGCGATCCGAGGCCCAGCAGACACCTTGACCTTGGCCTCGTAAGAGGCCTTGATCCAGAGCTAAGCTGCTCCTGGATTTCTGACCCAGAGAAACTGGGAGATAAAAAATGTTTGGTTTAGTTCAGCCTCTGAGTTTGGGGTTGATGTGTTATGCATTGGGGATAGATCACTAATACACTGAGCACCCCTCACCCGGGCCCCAGTCTGACTGTCCTAGTCCCAGAGCAATGTGGGGACCAGGTGATGGCGAGGCGTCACCTCTGGGAGGAGATCAGGTAGGGTG